AATGCCATTCTGTGCCTCCAGTGCAAGTAGTTTTTGTTGGGAAGCATGTGAACTCCAGTGTACACAACACAGAGTTAGAGATATGCAAGCAACATAACATGCATGGCTGAGCCCCAATATACCTGTGGACTTTCTTCCACCCCCCCCCCTCCCTTCAATCCTACAGAGTTTATCTCAAAACCGGAAAATGTTTCCAGTGGAATAACTGGACCTCATACTTTCTTAGTCCATACAGATGAAAGTCATGGAGGAATACATGTAGGTCTCAGGGTTTGTTACTGCCCCCCCCCCCCAAAAAAAAATAGCGTTCCCCTCCGGCTAGGCAGGGAGGGAGGGCTGGATGGGGCAATTAGCGGTCCCTCTGAGAGCCTTAGACCCGCCCCTCCATCGACGCCCCCTCGGGGCACACAAACCAATACCAAGTATTGGTTTTTATTGGGAGGCTCGGTTCGTAGACATGGTAGGGAATTGTAGAAACACAGACTCAATCTGTGAGAGAGACAGGAATGCAGATGGGCTTTTAAATTTTACGAGAGAAAGTTGGGAGATTTGGTGAGGTTTGAATTGTGTAAATGTACAGTGAAGCTTGTAAAAATGTTCTATAAGAAAATTGGATTTTCGAACAGCAGCAGCCAATATGTACATTGTTTGGGACCAGCGCCAAATTCCATGGAGTTGCTAAGCAGAAAAGAATACTTAGCAAATTGTATTGTGCTTGGCAAAATGAGGCCAGAACTGGGCTCGATTTCCTGGCACCGCTAACCACAGAATTCCGCACTTACGATCGCCATTTTGTGCCAACTGCGCTAGCAGAAAAATTCTGTGCTAACCCTGTAAACACAGAATCCTTGGATATGGGATGTACGCATGCGCAGAAGCCAACATTCCTTGCTAACCCGTGAATTATGCTTACCGTACGTGTATGCACAGAATTTTCTGCTGAAGTAAGCAGGGATTTTTTGCTAACGGTAAGCACAGCCAAGAAATTGGGCCCCGGTCACACAAAATTTAAATGGCACTACATTTTTGCTTGTAAACTTCTTCTGCTGAGCAAATTGTTTGTGCTCAGCATATATTTTTGTGCTCAACAGCCCTATGCAATAAGCCCTTGTCCTTAGCTGAACTTTGCTTGGGAATTTACTGGGAAATGCTCTCCGCTTGAAGGCAGCTGTATGAAAATCCGCGGCCCTGACTCAAGTCCAACTTGGCACCAGCCACATTATCCTTATCTGTAAAAGTTTAGTGCATGATGGCATGTCTCTCTCCCTCTGTCTTGCGTCAAGCTCCCGGGGCACATTGGCAATGGCAGCGGCCACAAGGAGAACTTCCTCCATTGCAACAATTCATCTTCCTACAAATCCATCACGGGTTGCCCAGAGAGAGATGCTGTACACATCCATTTACAACAACCATAAAGCACTGGGGAACGCAAATGGGATAGTATTTGGCTGCAAGTGTTTTTTTTTTCACATAATTTTGGCATGTTTGCAGAGAAGGCTTTAAATTGTGTAAATTGACAGCTTAATATTTTCAAATGTATTTTTAATTTCAAGACACAAACTTTTGAACTGCATGCACATAATTTGTGTAAAGGGCAATTTCATAAATCCTACCGGTATGTACGTCTGACCATATGATGTACGTACAAGGTCGTTAAGGGTGGTGATAAGCCTCTGTACAGGGGCCAATTTCACGGCGCTGCTAAGCACAAAAATTTGCTTAGCACAAAAAAAGTCTGGCTTATAAAAGCAGGTTACCAGCCAAAACTCCATGTGATGTATACTGCTCATGATTAGTATTCAGCTGTTGTTTGCTTCTAAAGCATGAAAATCACATGGAGTTTTGGCTGGTAACCTGCTTTTATAAGCCAGACTTTTTTTGTGCTAAGAAATTTTTTGTGCTTAGCAGCGCCGTGACATTGGGCCCTGATGACGTTACGCTTTGTTTACACGTGCGCCTTCGTATGGGAGGCTGGTGGGGACGACGGTTTCGTAGCCCCATAGAAAAGCGCACAAGTAAACAAAGTGTGACGTCATCAGTACAGAGGCTTATTGTTTTCTACTCATTAGATGTCACATTATTAATGATGTACATGTAATCATAATCGCTTTTCCAACAGCAGTTCATTAAAGTGTCTGACATGTACGTCCGAATTTACAGAATTGCCCTAAAATTTATGATCTATTAGTGATGATGTTGGACTCAGTAAAATGAACTGAGCAATTCTTCAAAATGTGGGTAACATGCTCAGGAGAATTAAATCAGTTGTGTCCTTGAGCAACACATTTTACCTTAATTTCTTCTACCAATAAAAAAAAGAATACAATACGGGCGATTCCCAATAGTGCGCCTCCAAGAGTTTGCAACGCGTTGGCCAATCACGTTGCGCGAAATCAGTCGACCTTTTCCAAACGCGCATTGGGTCGACAGATTTTGCGCATTGTGATTGGCCAACGCGTTGCAAACTCTTGGAGGCGCACTATTGGGAATCGCCCGTATTGTTGGTGTACAAACAAAGTCATGTGAAAGTTCTTCCAACACACCAAAAAAATGATAAATTTCGGAAAATGTTTATTGCATACTTGGTTTAGTCTGTCCCAGTCGGAAGGTTTTTTGGGGAAAGGAAACAGCTGTCCGAACCTGTTTTCATGAATACAGTTTTCCCATATTAATAATCATGAAAAATGTCCCATTGATGTTTTATTTATTGCAATGAGTAATTGGGAATGATGTGCATGATCAATCAATTTCATTTTTTTCTTTCCAGAGAGGGCTAAAATGCCACGGCCATCAAAACGGAAACAATCAAACCTGAAGAGAATTCACTGAATCAACGGAGTTCACAAACTGTCCTGTGCGCTCGTTGTAAACAACAGTACGTGCTTCCCAGCGTCGGAAGTCAACCCACAAGCAAAGAAAAACCCCGTGAACAGTTTGGACAATAATAATTTTTACGACCTCATACGGGACGGTCGTAAACTTAACTGCCATTTACCCGATTCTGAAAGACTTTCAATGATAAAGCTGCTGGGGTCTCCATGCTGAGCAGATATTTTTACGAGTATTATACTCTACTTAAAACCTTAACAGTGGCATGGAAAAGGCATACTATGTACAATCATGGAGGAATAAAAACTCCATGGCACAATGTACACGTTGGTCAAAGTCCCAATTGCAGTCAACTTCACACAATTTCCCTTTTAGCTTCAAAAATCTTGGCAGAGTTTTATTTGTACTCCAGGTTGCCACACCTCTAAATTGGACCATTGGTTTGAATAGGATACTTTCGAAAAGTTTGTCTCACATGGTTTATCGCCTTGATGTCTTGGAGTGCCAAATCCTCCCCTTTGAAACCAATGCTGGGACAGTAGGATCAATAGCCTGTCTCCCACAAGACACTAAATCCTTAATCCCCCCTTTGCCCTTCTTGTGAAGGGGAACAAGAGGGGGGTATTACCGTTGATTTAAGGGGTGGGCTTTGCCTGAGATGGGACAATGCAAGCCAAACTGCTGTCTTCATTCTGGATGCAAACACTCTTCACAAATGCAACCGGAAAAAAAAAAATCCAAGCATGTGGTTCGATAAGCAGTCAGTCAATTGTGTATTATTCACAACAGGGTTTTCAGAACAATGCGGTGTCTTAAACACTAGGGACAGACCATACACGTGGTCAACTCATACTGGAAAAAGTGGGTCGCTGGCAGGGGCTATTGAAAACTCAAATGGTCCATGGGGAGGGACCAGGGAGGAACAATGGGCGCCGGCCACACGGCTCATTGAACAGAGAGGAAAGGACTCCTTGAAAGTTCCAAAGAGGAGAACGGCCGGCCCGTGTGCTGCAAATTGCGGGCAAATTGTCGGGACGTGTCTGGGGGAGAATGGCGGCCATTAGGGGGACAATACAGGGGACCTGTTAGGTCCCACTGTGAGCGGGAGGGGGGAAGTTGCGGGGAATCCTTTAATGGGTGGTGGGCGGATCAGAGGGGGGCCTTATTGTGGGCAAGCGTTTGGGGCATTCCAGTCAGCTTTTCCACTTGAGATGAGTCTGTCAGGACGGATCGTGTCAAAGAGTTGATCTAATAACTCCATGTTCTGTATTACTTCCTCCAATTACTCCTTGTACATGTACCGGTACACTCGTGTATGCGCACCTGGTATGGCAAAACATGTACTGAACGTGGGCAGGGGTTCTGTCACACCCTCTAGTGGCAACTTCATGCGTGCTCCGTGTTATGGTTTAAGAATATAATACTCAAGATATTAAGGCTTTTCATTCTTCTGAGGAGCGTCGGGGTTCGGCCAAAGTCCCGCCCTGAACTTGTTACTTCATAATTCCCACATTTCAGTCCAGAAACAAACAATAAATGCAAGATGTAATTTCAGAGTCCAGAATTCAAGAATAGTAGTTCACATGGAATCTGTCAAAAGTCAATCAATGCGAGTGGTAAAGCTCTTGAAACCATGTCACATTGGCCATCATTCACACATGATGTCACACTGCCATCATTTCACACACGATGTCACATTGGCCATCATTTTTTTCATAAACACATAACAGGGCAGAACATTTTACAATGAAAATACAAGCACAAACAAACGTGAACTCGGCTTATGTTCAGCTGTGCGAAATTTCAAAATCTCAGTACGATACAATCAATAAACTTCAATGCAATTTTAAGAATGCAGCCTTAAAAAAAAAAGGACACGAATCCACAAGAATACTGATTGACATTCCAAATTCCATTAGAGGTAGCTTGAAGTACAAGAATGTGAAAGAAAGAAAGTACATTCAGAGCTAAGAATAACAAACATGGCAATTATAATGGTCTTCCTGACAAAGCACTGGCTTGTTTGCCCTGGCAGAAAAACAGACAGCGACGGAGAACACAATGAAAGCAAACCGTTCACAGTCGGAAAGGAAACAGTCTGAGAAACTCACGAAAAATCACGCCCGTCAAGAAAAAAAAAAGATTGTAAAAGGAATGCTTGTTTTCCTTACCTGGTGCTGACGTGTTGACACACTGCCAAAAAGTTGTCTGAAATAACAAAAGGGAGAGAGAGAGAACAAAAATGAACAATGGAAGATGTTTTTGAAGGAACCACTGGGAAATCCACGGTTGAATAATAAAAATCAGAATGAAGCTGTCAGTTGGAAGTTGATTCAAATTTAATTTGATTATTGACAATGTAGGTTCATGGGTGTATAAATTTGCCAAATAGCACGGCTGGTGGGTTGTACCTGTAAAGGGGTAACAGAGGCATAGGGCTTGACTCAAATGTTCCCTTCAGAGTAGGGACTTGGGACACAAGGGACAGCCCGTCCAATCCAGAGAATTGAAAAACTAAGAAAGTTTATAGAATTTCTGCCGTTACCTACACAAATTAGCCAAATATTTTTTTTTTTTTTAAATCTTGCTTGTATCTGGCGCACAGCAAATTTCAACTGAACACTCATCAAAATTTACCACCAGGTGGCCAAAATGCACTCCCGATTTTACCGGACACAAAAAATACAAGAGGTTTGCGTTTGTTGTTACAAACGCAGAGTGGTCGGGTAGACAACTATTTCATTAGACGTTGTCCACTTAAATTGTCCACCCGATGACGTGATAATGACGTGTGAGTTATATGCACCACTTAGGATGAGGGTCAATATGGTATATTGAAAGTTACAAGTTCATATCATAAACTGTTTGGGAGAAAACCCGCGGAAACGTGCTGTACGGAAAAAAAAGAAAGATTAATCATAACAATAAAAGTGGTCGGGTTGTGCCCGACCACTCAAAAAGCTACACAGTGTACATACTCATTGAACTTCATGTACATGTAGTACATGTACATGTTCATCTTTTTATAGCTCCATGGTGCCACGCAAATCAGTGTTCCTTTGTAATCTTTTCATTTTACTTGTCATCATTCCTGCAATGCTCTGATGCGTTGGAGTGGAAGAGACTCGACAAGAAAACATGTAACAATCAAATCAGCCGGAACAGGAATAATACGTCTTGTGTACACAACCCTGGCATTACAACTATGGAAAGTGCAGGTTTATTATTTTTTAACAGTCCTGTAAGAATTAAGGCAGAGACACGAGGGGGGATGGGATGTATCGGTGTGAAACGGACGGAGACACATCTAACATCCCTTGTTTTTTTTGCAAGGGTAATTTCTGCGTGTGATTCAATCAGTTTTTGGTTCATGTTGTCAGACTGCATGAGAACGCTGTGTGCTAATAGATCATGGCTCTATGATAAAACTGACGAATAACGTTGAATACTTTCAACCACACTGAATTGACCAATCTTTTGCATGATGTGTGAATGGTTGTTTGGAATTATTTCCACCTTTTAAGAAAATCTCAATATCATCCTGTGGGGCTGGCATTCGTGAACCTGCTTCATCTTCAGAAATATTAAGGGGAACCACTAACATACAGCTGGATAGCTCAGTTAGTAGAGTACCCGGAACGGCAATCCAGAGTTCGATGGTTGAAACCCCACTCCAATCAATTCTTTGTTCAACTTCAAAATTATTTAAATGCACTTGCAATCAGTTTTCCAATTGTGGTTTATTTGAAATCTTTCGGACTTTTTGAAAGACAGGTCACCGTTTCACGTCTAGGCAGGGAGGTGTATGGGTGCAAGCCTAGCCAATGATCAAATGAGTGTTATTACAGCTTAGAATAAATTGGTGTAAAAAGAAGAAAATTGGGTTCTGCATGGAATTCATTGCCCTAACAATCAGGGATGAAAGTTGATAAGTGTGAAGAACGTTGATCCAGAGACTCAAGTGATATTCTACATTCCGTTATCATCAGACACTTATCTCCGTGGAAGATCTAAGAGACCACTTAAAACACCATTAAAAATCTATACCTAATGTCGCCAGACAAAGCCTTGCATTGCGTCTGTTCCCCGCTCCACAATCGCAAACCCAACTTTTATAGACCGTGATCGCGCCACTGCTCCGTTTATCTAAATAGGACGTGAATCCCCACCCTGGTACGGCCTTTCTGACAGCCATTATCAGATCACTAAGCACTCCAGCTCGGGCAAAACCGTCTATTAGATAAAGCAAAACATTTTTGAAACCAGGAGCTTGGAAACATGACAGAGAAAAAAAATAGAGCGAAGGGGATCGAGAGCAAGAAAAAAAAATGTTCAATTATACGGCGCCTGTCTGTAGCCCCCAAGGCACAGACTGGTGTATGAAGGTGTCTAATTGTGGGAGAGTGGGACGCATTTTGCGCCTGGTGGTGTGTCCGAGGCGTCTGCTCTGTACCCGTCGTTTTTTTGAAATTTTATTGGCCTAGTAAAAAAGTGGCTGACCCAGTTTGCAGGCTTTAGATGCCTGACATGAGCGGGGAAGAAATAAAGGTGTGAAGTGGACGTGAGATTCTTGCTAAAGGTGTTTAATATGGCAACGGCTTAGTTCTGGAGGAATCCCTAGATAGGTGTTTGAATGTATTTGGTATTAATTTGATATGGGTTACTTTTACAGTTTTTTTTCTTCAAAACCAATAATGGTTCTTTCTCCGCACAATACCTAGTAATTTTCTATGAATCCTCTGGTACTAACGTCCCATAGAGGGAAGTTCATACCCATATCTTTATCTCTTGTTTATAAATCTCTGTGTACTAACGAAGGAAATCTTTGCGCATCTTTATCACACTTCATACGGCAAAGACCCTCGAAAACTTTACACTGGAGATTCTCATTCTGAAGCCAGAATCTTGAAACTCAATCAACTCATCTCACACTTGAAGCATTATACTTGTGAGTAACTCATTGTACAAAATCACTTGAGGCTGCAGAACAGAAGAAATTGTCTAACAAGCTGAAAAAAAAATAGATTACCAAAACAGTACATTCATAACACAAGGGTCCAAGTTTTCTCAGTTCAAAGAACAAAGTAGAGGAAAAAACGTACAAATTTTCAGCCGTTAAGGGAAAAAAAACTGCTCCTAATATTGTCCAGAGGGATTCCAATTTCCTAGATTCAAATAAAAGAAAGTCAAGGAATGACAAACTCATTTTCCCTCGGGGGCATTTTAGTCAAATAAAAATTGCAGACATTATGTCTATATACAGATTTGAAAGGACATGAAGGAAGGGACCTACTATTTCTGAAAACACCAGCATGTGTCAACAACAACCTCATAAACGCCTTCCAACATATGCACACTTTATCACTTTACAGTTGTACCCCCTTTTAAACAAAATAAATCGCGAATTGTGTTACAGGCCGGGGCTAACATGATTACCAAATGCACTGATATTATTTCCAAGTTTTCCTGAGTGACACTAATGTGATTAGCTGCAGGACTGAGGCGACGACGACCCAGCCGTGGAAATGTGGGGGTAGAAAAAAATGTGAGTGACTTGTGATGATTTCTCAACTAGCCTATGGATTGAAGAACAGCTTTAACCATGTCAAACATTTGAGCACATGTGCAAAAAACACAAACAGGAGAGCTGAAAAAAAAAACAAGGGGTACGGTAATTCAATCTTTCAATTCATCTCTTACTTCTACTTCGTCTCATTTTCTTGCTTTTAATCCATTTTTTTTCCCGGAGATTTCAAAGTTGAAAATTCAAAAATGAAATTCTTTTCACTGGAGGCCACTTAATATCGAAAGAACATCAAGCCGAATCAATATTATTGACAGCCGGTCCGAAATAACAGAAAGCCATTCACCGAACGGCATTGTCTGAAGTTAAGAACCACTCGACCAGTCTTTCCATTTGCCATCCAAGAATAACAAGTGTTGCTGTGCTGAGACAGTTATTCAAGGATTTTAAAAGCAGGAAACTCCATTATTCCTCACTGACAGAACCACAGTCCTTTATGTCAAGAGAATGCCAGTATTTTGATTTCTCTGCCTGTGTGATTTTTTGGTCTGAATCGGGGGACCTTTTGAGTTCTGCCGACAAAATGTGTGGCATTATTGGCCCCGCTGAAAAGGAGTGAGTGCTTTCGATGAAAGCAGGCGGAAAAACACCGAGGCGCTTTCAAACGTGCAGTCCGGAGAAAAACACAAGTTTGAGTTTGTCAGCCCTCGGAGATCTTTTCACAAAATTTGAAAAGCTTTTTCTTTTCTTTTTTTCCAGTTTCTTTTATAAGATGATTTTTGTTGTCTTTTCACTGCCTCCTTGAAACTACTGTATCTACTTTTGGTTCCTTTCAATAACTTTTATTATATCACTTTTTTCAATATGGCCTTTTTAACCAAGTACGGTAAAATCCAAAACCCTTTGAAAATTTGGGGGGGGGGGGGTCTTTCAGCTCTTTTTCATCTAGTAAGCTTGCAAATTGCTATAAACTGTGAACATCACTTCACCTTAATGGACACCAATTTACGTATCCAAGTTTTGGGTGCCTCGTACTTTTTTGCACCTGATATCGCCCACCACATTACCATTGATTTTTCATTTTTTCGGGTGATATTTTGTCTGAAATTTCATTCCAGGCTGACTTCCATTGAGTGTCTCCGGTCAATTATTATACACCTGTCTCTCCCGCAATGCAATTACTCGCTTGCTTAAAGTCTGGAATTTAATTTGCATTGACTTGGCCTGAAGTGAGCTGCGTCTTACAAAATTCTTGCAAAACAAATAATAAATTCAGAATTATGGCGGTAAACAAATATAGGCCTATGAAGTTACTATGCACTTTTCAAGGCTTTCTTTTCTTCCCCATGAATTTTTAGTCCAGTGTACCGGGGAGCATCTTATATCTGTATGATTATACATAGTTTACAATGTACATGTACCGGTACCCTTGTCCATCATTTAGGGTTACAATACAATACAAGGTTAAAATTTACAAAATTTATCAAAAATAACCAGACTTTTACTCCTAAAACCAACATTTCTACATGTAGCTTGGCAAAGGCTTATTCATTAAAACCCTCCTTTTGTTTGATCAGTCACAGACAGTCAAAAGTTCAATCCTGTTCCCCTGCCATGCCTTTTACACAGGCTAGTCACCAACAGTCAGATGTTTCTTATAATCACTATGACAGTCAAATTCCAT